GCTCGTATTCCTTCCGCAGCTCAGTCGGTTAGCCGTAACAGATACGAGCCACTCAGACGTTCAAGCAGAGTTCAAATGATCTTAACATCTCTTACTGCAAATGCTGAAGGAGAAAGTTTACCTCTCTTCTTCAGCCCGCCGTTTCTCCTCTTCAAATCTCTCTCTTTCTGCATTGAAGGTAGTAGAGGCGATCTGCCTCGATGTTTCCAGCATCACTTCTGCTATGAGCTCATCTACAGTAGAATCAGAGATCCTGTACAGAAAAGGGAAATCACTGTGAAGCCTTACCTGAATGCACACAATGCGCGGTGTCTAGCAGTACTGACCCTTCACTCATCCTCCGTACCAGTGTGTGTGGGGGGGTTCTTTATAATACTTCTTTGCTCAAGTTACTCGTGTTTTGGATTCATCAAGATTTGGTCCACTGACTAGCCAAATACTGATCAAGTATTTTTAAAGTGTTAACTTCACTAGAACACAAGAAATACTTTCGAGAGGCTTGATCTAATTGCCCTGACCTGGATAGCCCAGACAAGCCCGATCTTGTCAGATCTCAGAAGCTAAGCAGGGCCGACTCTGGCAAGTCCTTGGATGGGAGACCACTCTGAAATACCAGAGGCAGGGACAGGCTCTATTCAGCCACTTCTCTGAATATCCTCCAGGACTCCAGAGGTTGCCATGACTTCCAGGTGCATACACACTCACATATTAGAAACAAACAAACCCCCCCCCAAAAAAGAGAGGCTTGATCTAATTACAAAACAAATGACTTACCTGTTACTGTGAAACACTGAGATTCTCTTTTAGCATTGTAAAAAGTTATTATAGAAGTCAGGCTAGGTTTCCATAAACGTGAATGATTCTCTGAACAAGCGTACTAATAGGCTTTTACCTGACAGTCAACATACAATTCCAACTTGGTTTTTTTGTTTAAATGCCTTTAAAGCAGACGTTAAGAGCAGGACGGATCCTACCCGTCTCACAACTCCACTGAAGTCTGGAGCCTTCCTCCAGACGGTGGCTCCTTCCTCCTACTTAAGCGGCTCTTCCGTCGGAGGAAGGTCTTCTTGGAGGAAGGAGCAAACAAATGTCAAAGGCGGTTGCACCAAGTAGGCAGCAGATGGGATTTCTGCTGTCATCGTGGGCGACCAGTAGGTAGGGATGCCAGGCGCTAGCCTGCCATCCCAGGGAACTTTGAGGGGTGGGGAAGGGGCAGAAATGACACTGGGCTATGTGCCGGACGGGATGTCCAGGCAAAAAAACCCCAGATGTGATGCCAGGGCATCGACCAATGTTCAAGGAACTCTATGGCATTACCGAAGTTTCTGAAGTAGAGGTCCCCAAACTTTTAGGGCCTGAGGGCACTTTTGGAACTCTGACAGGGCACGGTGGGGCACAGCAACGAAATGGCTGCGGCGGGAGGCAGAGCCCGCCACAAAAACGATTGCCGCGGCTTGCAGTGACACGGTACAAAGCCTCGTGCCGTGGAGGCGACCAGTAGGCAGGGATGCCAGGCGCCAGCCTGCCATCCCAGGGAACTTTTGAGGGGTGGGGAAGGGGCATAAACGACACTGGGCTACCTGCCGACATGATGTCCAGGCAAAAAAAACCCCCAGATGTAATGCCAGGGCATCGACCAGTGTTCAAGGAACTCTATGGCATTACCGAAGTTTCTGAAGTAGAGGTCCCCAAACTTTTAGGGCCTGAGGGCACTTTTGGAACTCTGACAGGGCACGGTGGGGCACAGCAACGAAATGGCTGCGGCGGGAGGCAGAGCCCGCCACAAAAACGATTGCCGCGGCTTGCAGTGACACGGTACAAAGCCTCGTGCCGTGGCGGCTGCCACCGCCGAAGCAACAATTTTAAGAATAAGAAACCTGCATAGGCGACCAAATCCCCAATTGTCAATCACAAGCCCTGCTAGGCAAATGCCCTACCTGGCCTATCCCACTTCCCCAAAACACCTGGCAATTGCTGGAAATGGTGTCCGCCACTGTGCCCGTGGGCACCACCTTGGGGACCCCTGTTCTAGAGCATGGGCTGGCATCACCGATGGGTTTGTGCCCAGATGTGATTGCGAGTCGCCCAGGCGGTTTTCCATCACCAACTGAACCTCCACACGATCCTATTTCAACTACTTCTGCAAAGGTGAACAAGCCAATAGATCATGATGTGCCTCAGAGGTGGTAACTCCGGGTGCAGCGATAGTGACTTTACCGAATGGCGGAGCGCACATAGGCTGCCCCTGCCGTGCTGACTTCTCTGCATTCTGCCTCCAGCACGTCACGCACGAGCCCTTCAACTACTTCGGCGATGTCCTGGGGAACAAAAAGAAAGCACTGAGGATTAGCAGCCAGCACCCAAGAATTTCACTCTCTTCTCCCCGGCACTTAGAAGCGTTAATATTAAATTACATACATCAAGTTGTATCAAATAAGTGCCTTGACCTGCAAGCCCGATCTTGTCAGATCTCAGAAGCTAAGGAGGGCCGGCCCTGGCTCATATTTGGATGGGAGACCTCCAAGGAATACCAGCGCCATGTTGCAGAGGCAGGTAATGGCCGGCCACCTCTGAACATCCCTTGCATTTACATCCTACTAGGGGGGTCACCAGAAGTCATCTTGACTTGATGGCAAAACAAGAAGAAGAGGAGATTGGATTTATACCCCCCGCCCTTCACTCGGAGTCTCAGAGCGGCTTACAAACCCCTGTCCCTTCCCCTCCCCACAACACAGATCCTGTAAGGTAGATTCCTATTGGCAGCAGAGGATAGGACTCACATTAATGTGTTTAAATTAAGGGTGGGAAGGTACTTTTTGACTATTAGGAAAAACTTTTACAGTAAGAGTTGTTCAGCAGTGGTATCAGCTACCTACGGAGGTAGTGAGCTCCCCCTCACTGGCAGTCTTTAAGCAGTGTCTGGACAAACACTCGTCAGGGATGCTCTAGGCTGATCCTGCATTGAGCAGGGGATTGGAGTAGATGGCCTGTATGGCCCCTTCCAGCTCTGTGATTTTATGATTTTACAATTCTTTGGTACAGTAGATCATACCATCTTGTTGAGGCACCTAGAGGCAGAAGTAGGTATATCAGGGTATATATGCTGAATTGATTCAAATCATTCTTCACAGATTGGACTCAAAATATTCCTGTGGGAGACCAGTTGTCATCAGTGTGTGGAATTTATCCTGTGGAGTTCCTCAGGGTGCAATTCTATCCCCCCATTTTTTAAAATCTCTATGTAAAGCCCTTAGGACAAGTCATTCAAAGCTTTGTTGTTGGATGTCATCAATGGGGAAGTGATACCTCCTTATCCAAATCCCCTGGTTATACAGTAGTAGTCCTGAATAACTGACTGACTGCTGTAGTAAATTCAGTAAGAGTGAACAAATTGAAACTAAACCCTGAAAAAGACAGAGGTAATGCTGGTTGGGAAGATGGAAATCTTCCTTCCTTCCTTCCTTCCTTCCTTCCTTCCTTCCTTCCTTCCTTCCTTCCTTCCTTCCTTCCACGTTTGTTTGCATTTCAAAATTACACTGTGGTGCCTGCCCTGGCAATATCTACACTGGATGCCTGCGCTACACTGTGCATGGGGCTGCCCTTGAAGACTGTCCAGAAGCTACAGCTGGTAGAGACTGCAGCCAGAGTGTTGACTAGAGTGGGTCATAGGGACCATAATTGCCAATGTTCCCTCTAAGCTGAGTGAGTGTGAGCCAGCTCAGTTTTTTAGCCTCTGGCTCACACATTGTTGACTTAGCTCACGAAGGATGGCTCCAGAGCAAACTGATTTATGCAGCAGCCGAATCGCTCGCTCACACTTTTAATACCAGTAGCTCACAAAGCAGAATTTTTGCTCACAAGACTCCACAGCTTAGCGGGAGCACTGGATATCACTGCAGTCTTCTTGTACCGACACTGGCTTCCAATTTCCTTCTGGGCTCAATTCAAGGTACTGGTACTGACCTTTCCCTGCACAGCCTGGGACCAACATACCTGAAGAACGGCCTTCTCCCCTATGAACCAACCCATCACTCTGACCATCTTTGAAGGCCTGCTTCGGTTGTCCCTGCCAACGGAGGCTAGACAGGTGGCAACATGAGGCAGTGCCTTCTTGTTCACGGCACCAAAAACTTTGGAACTCCCCTCTCCAGGGAGATTTGCCTGTCTCCCTCTATTGCTGCCTTCTGCCAGCCGGTGACAGCTTCTTTGTTTGGTTACTGGCCCTCCTCTGATATTGTGTGTTACGGGCTTTCATTGAATCATTTTTAATTCATTTAAATGTATTTTTAATGGCTCAAACGGTTTAATATTTTCCCCCTCTTTGCCACCTTGGGAACCCAGAGGGGGGCGGAAAGACAGCCTTAAGATGTTATACATAAATAAATGCAGAAGGAACAGAAGGCGTTTTCCTGACGTTCCTCACCGCGTCACAATAAGCAGGCTGAGGCTTTGGAGGAGGAGGTGCCGGCGGCTGCGGAAGAGGCTGAAAGGCGGAGACGGCAACCGGAGGCAGGGGGGCCGGCTGGAGCGGTAAAGCCAACAGTGGAGGGTGAACCTGACGCGGCTCTAAGTCCATTTCGTCTCCTCCTGCTCTTGCTTCTGGAGGGGAGAGAGACAGAACACCCGGCTGCTTAGGAAGGTAAAGAATATGGCACCAACCTATACCCACTTTCCTCGCTGAGACTGGGCAGGGCTAGGAGCCTTTGCAGTCCAATCAGCCCAGGGGGGAGGGCCCAGGCTTTAGGAGCGCAAAGCCTCAGGCCCAAGCTCTTGGCATCCAGGGATCATCAGAAAAATTATCACCAGTAGCCAGGCTGGGAAACACTGAGGTTACAGAGAGCCAATATGGATGCAGACAAAACAGTGCTGAGCTAAAGGGACCGACAGCCTGGCTGCACGAGACAGCTTCACGTCAAGACCCGGAATGCTGTGATTGACACCAGGCAGCTGAATTTATACTTGTGCTCCTTTTTTTTAGGTTGAGCAACGTACCAGGTATACAAAGAATACACCTTTAATGCTCAGTTGAAGCATTCATCATTCTGTCCCTTCATTTCTACTCCTTGAACAGTTCACTGAACCGTTCTGATTACCGTAAAAAAGGGAACACGTTACCAAGAAAAAACAAAGAAGCAAAGCAGAACAGAACACATTCTAACAGCTGGGAAGGATTAAGTCACTGCCAGACTCGGCCTCCATCAGAAACCATTAAAAAGTAAAAGAAACCCTTAATTTTGGTATATCTTGGGTTGGGTCAAGGATGGGTGGCTCCAAATTGGATAGCCCAGACAAGCCCGATCTCGTCCGATTTCGGAAGCTAAGCAGGGTCCACTCTGGCAAGTCCTTGGATGGGGGACTTCCTTGGAATACCAGAGGCAGGAGGCAGAGGCAGGCTTTATTCAGCCATCTCTCTGAATAGCCTTCAGGCCCCCAGTAGGGGTCAGAAACCAGAGGTCACCATGACTTCCAGGTGCACACGTACTCACATGCGCACACACATGTCAAAAATACAAAACAACAACAACAAAAGACTAGGGATGAGCATGAACCAAACCATGAAGTAAAATTTGTCACAAATTTTGCCCTGTTGTGGTTTGTGAACAGAAGTTCATGACAGGTCTACTGTCACAAACTTCCACGAATTTCATGGTTCACGGATGGAGCAGAAAGCAAAGGTTTAAAGGGGCTCTGAGTCTTTCTGTTCCCTGTGAGAGCCGCAAAAACAGCCACTCGGCTGTTCTGGGCTGTCTTGTGTTGTTTCTTTAAACTTTAAAGGGATTACAGAAGACAGCCCGAAACAGCTGGGCGGCGGGGAGCGCCTCCCCGCTGCACAGCTGTTTCTCGGGCTGTCTTCTGCAGACCCTCTGGGCTTTGGACGTGAAGGTTGCATCTCACCTGAGACATCGGCACTGGCTTTCTGACTACCGCTGGCCAAATCCACCGCCGCGCTCTCCCCAGTGTATTTGTTTTGCTCGTTGAAGCTGCACACAGGTACGTGGCAAGTCAGAGCTGGCAAAGGTCCCCCACAGACAATTTCCCCAACCAGCCCAGTTAGCTTCTGGCTAACAAACGGCGACTTCTTTGGCTTGGGTAAGCTTTCTGGTTCCAAAAAGGCTGAACGATTCAGCTCCACAAAACTGTAAAAGCAAAACAAAAGCATGTACTGATGAACCCACAAATTTAACAAAAGACTTCCCCACGTTTATAAAGACATACCTATTATATCATATACGAGTAAAAGAAGAAGTAGTTTTAAGACCCATATTCTCCCCTCTCCCTCCTTTTCAGCTCATTCCACATTATATTGGGGGGAAGTTAACGTATAGTGAACTTGTTAGAATATAAAAAGTTTCCCCTGACGTACTGTGCCCTGACTTGGATGGCCCAGGCTGGATTGATCTCCGTCAGATCTCGGAAGCAAAGCAGGGTCAGCCCTGGCTAGGAGTTACATAAGAACATAAGAGACGCCAATGTTGGATCAGGCCAAAGGCCCATCCAGTCCAACACTCTGTATCACACGGTGGCCAGAAATACCAGTAGCATCAGGAGGTCCACCAGTGGGGCCAGGACATTAGAAGCCCTCCCACTGTTGACCCCCCCCCCAAGCACCAAGAAGACAGAGCATCACTTGCCCCAGAGGCCCCTATCTATACCTTGTGGCTAATAGCCACTGATGGACCTCTGCTCCAGATGCCTATCTAATTCCCTTTTGAAGCCATCCATGCTTGTAGCCGCCACCACTTCCTGTGGCAGTGAATTCCATCTGTTAATCACTCTTTGGGTGAAGAAGTACTTCCTTTTATCCGTTCTAACCCGACCGCTCAGCAGTTTCATGGAGTGCCCACGAGTTCTTGTATTGTGAGAAAGGGAGAAAAGTACCTCTTTCTCTACCTACTCCTTCCCATGCATAAACTTGTAAACCTCGATCATGTCACCCCCTCAGTCGTTGTTTCTCCAATGGATGGACGACCTCCAAGGAAGATCAGGGTCATGACGCAGAGGCAGGCAATGGCCAACCACCTCTGAAACATCTCTTGCCTTAAAAAACAAGTCTAGTTTGCCACCTATTGGTGAATAACGCTAAAAGAGCTAGAACTTTTGGCTGCCAAACGATCTTAGGATCTCCTGGCTATACTACACACACTGACATATGATAATTATTCATTGTACTGTAACTAAGGTGAAATGGAGTACAGACAACAGAATTAAGGAAGGTGATACACAGGTTCTATGAATAGACTGTTTATAGGCCACTTATCTCACTGAGTCCAGATGAGATATAATATATATTTATTCACAGCCTGCACAACTCATTAAGATCTAGGTTGTATCAATGTACATTAATCGTGTATTTTAGCTTTATTGTGTTTATGCAAAAATAATAAAAAGGGGGGAAAGCAGCAATTCTCTGACTATGCGGAGCCCAAGTTGTTTCAAGCTTTTTAAGACCAAAAACTGAGGATTTACAACTAGAAAATAGGTGCCCCAAGGTTACAGCTACACTTGCCAATTTGGCTGGTTAGCTCTAAGGACTAGAAAGCTCCTAGTGAAAAACGAATAGATGTAATTTGTTACAGGACTTAACAGGTTTTACATGCATGCTCTATTTGATAGTCATTTTAAGGAAAGATGTCAGTTTCGGCTAATCTCATTCCCCAATCTGAAAAAAAAATCACATTCTTGTTGTGGCCCTCTGAGACACACTACCTCTTGGAGTGAGCGCCCAGAACCAGCACTTACCCATCAGACACACTCAAGCCATAGTAACTGATGAAATCACTTGCGCTTTCAGAGTCCCTGAACAGCAACATGCGAACCACATTTTCCAGGGGAAAGATGGTTGACCTTTGAGCATTCACAGTGTATGCGATATTGAGAGACTTCAGAGCATCTTTGCGGATCTGAAAAAGTGTTTTCAAAGCTCCTGTTAATTGTTTTTGTTGGGAGTACATAACATGTTCTTTCAAATAGCTGTTTTGCTCCCCACACCAATGACACCGAGACCACTCATCATTTCACTTCTGATTTTTACACAAATTATTTGACTGAATCCCCAAATTTCAGGACACAATCATTAAATATATCTAAAATCTCCCAGAACACAGAACTACAGGAAACAGTGTTTTGGAAATGAAATCCTCTCAAACCCTCTGTGAGCCCCATCTTTCTGTATTTGCCATGCTATGCCCTCCAATAATGGACACTGTTGTTACTTTTGTTCAAGTTACTATATTAAGTTAAAAGTATACAAAGGACATAAGAACTCTAGATTCTAGA